CTATTTTTCGTATGTTATGTGGCAGCAAACTTCGGTTTAATATGGCTAAAAATCAATTCCTGTCTATGTTTGTTTACCTATTCTAATATGGCGAACCTTTTAGACACCGAGCGCCCAAAAACTGCCCTGCCCCCCTGCCCGCCCCGCTCCGCTACCTGCCCCACCACCCGCCCACCCCCACTCCGCCGCCCACCCACCCCTGCTCCTACTGCCTCCACGGCCCGCCACAGCAGTTTACCCAGGCGGCCCTGCAGTGCCATGGTGGCCACGCCCTCTGCCCGTGCCCCGCAGCATCATGTGTGCAACGGGGCGCGAGGGCGGAGTCTTGTCCCTGCTGCCTGGCTGCCATGTCCTTGGCTGCGCTGCTCTGGGTGGGCTCAGGGGCGGCTCTCCAGGGGGCTGCTGGTGAGGAGGGGGCTGTGGGGGAGGTGGGGCTGGGGCGACGGCATGCTTGCCTACAGAGAGGGCTCTGAGTGCCACCTCTGGCACGCGTGCCATAGGTTTGCAACCATTGAGTCCTATTCCATTGGTACAGATAATTGTTCACTGTCATACCTAGACTTGCAAAACATGTTTATAATTCTGATTCTGATGCACCATAGTTTAATAGATGCCATGTAATGGAAAGCAATGAGTGGTATGGAAAATTTCATGTATTCATGTATTTTACCTTTATCGTATAAAATTCCCAAGGGATATTACTTGTTCAATTTATATCTTACTTTAATTTTGTGTAACTCAAACCATCATGCACAATGCTCCCTCCTATTTTCTTCTCAACAACTGTGCATGTGAATTAAATTGAAAGAGAGTAATAGGCCCCAAATAGTCTAAGGGAGAATTAGAACTTGCAGCCTCTCAGCTTCTGGTCTATACTTTAACCATGCCAAACAGGATAGAAAATAAAAATCAGGAAACACCGAAAGCGTTATCCTAAAAATTTTACTACTGAAAAGTACCGGTAATCTAGATTCTTTCATTTTTACAAGGTGGGACAGGAGGAACTTTTAAGCATATTTTTTAACTTAAAAAAAATATATATCTGCTTAATGAAGAATTTATATCTGCTTCATTCCTGATTTCTTTAAGGAGAAATGAGCCTGATTCTTCTTTAAGGGATTAACAGCAATATTTATTGACCTTTTCACCACAACCACAAATTAGGATTATCAAATCAGCACTGATCTGACTAGTCCAGGGGTAGGCAACCTTGGCTCTTTTATGACTCGTGGACTTCAACTCCCAGAATTCCTGAGCCAGAGTTGAAGTCCACGAGTCATAAAAGAGCCAAGGTTGCCTACCCCTGGACTAGAATCAGAACCTTGATTCAAAAAAGTAATCCAGTTCAATAATTCAAGATATAATAGTTTGGAAAACTGATGCAAACTTTTAGATCCTCTGTTCATTTCTGTTTTCTCAAAATCAAATTGGAAAAATCCATTTCTGCACATGTACAGAAGCATAAAAATCATACAGATCAGAGATTTGATCAAACTGTTTTCAAGTTGAATGCCCAAAACTGAAACTTCACATAGCTATGAAAACAACCCTGCCTCTTTTCAGGTCCAAAACTAGCCTTAGTTATACAAAAGAGCAAACCGTTAATCTTCTAAAAGCCAAGGATGCAATGGACGTCAAGTGTCTACCTAGAATTAGAAGTATTATTGTACGGTAAGTGGAAAGTAAGTACTTTCTGTATTCATGGGGGGAGGGGGGAAGAGAGACCCAAACCTAATTCTTATATAAGACTAAGTACTGATTTGGGGTTCGGGGAACTAGAGCACTACAGTAGTTGTCTTCCGTCTAATTTCTAGCTTTGACCATCTAAAAATTCATCCCTTTTTATTGCTGAGTCAATATCCTTTTAACCACCATCGCCACCAAGCTCTGGACAAGGAGATAAGCCTTGTCTTTAAAAGCATAACTCATGGAATAACCACCAAGAAGAAACCCTTCATGCCTTTCCTCCATCTTCTTACCACATCCACTTTCCTAACACCTTTGATCAGTATAAATAAGCCCACATATGTTTCTACATTCACTCATGGGGAGAAGGGCCAATTCATTGTTATATATAGCTTTAAAAGATCAGCACCAAGGAAGTCAGGTTTTTCCAGCATGGTCTAAAGATAACCCTCAGCAGAAAATTGGAGGCTCCCCAGAGTTTGCAGCTTAGAATTGCTTTGAGAACAACTGAATATTTCAGTTACACCAATGTAGTGTATAAACCTGATCACTTCTGTATTGACCCACTTTTTAAACTAACATAACCTACCAAACCAGAATGGCTTTGTTGAAATACTTAAGCTTTGTTTATGAAGAAAAACAAATGCTAATATGTATAGGCATGCTTGAGACTACCATCATTACATACTCCCCTAACTGCTTCTAACAGGCTTGGAAAAATATTTTGTCCTATTTAACTGTGCAAAGAAGGCTTGAAAACCAAATGTTCCCAAACCAGAAAAGCTGCAAATGCACTGAAAGTGGAAATACAATACACAGCCTATTGTTGTTAATAATGTTTCTGCAGGAATGCTTTAAAAGTCCACCCAATGAACTAGCTATGAGACTATCCATTTAGAGCATAAATTCACCTTCTGGGTCTGAAAGCACTTTGCAAAAATGAGGGCTAGGTTTCAGCTTGACCTGAATCATTCCACTGATGCTGATGAAATCAAATGTAAACCATTACTGAATCATAGCTATTGAGAGAGTGAATGACTGCATCTCATCCCATCTCATCTAGAATTATATTGTTCACACAATCAGCCAAGTATTTAGACTAGATTTGGCATTTTTATCCACTTATCCACTCCTTCCCAAAAACCTGGGATAGGGTGATGTGATTGTTATTATTAGTAGTAGTAGTATTTTAGACAAATACCTGTTTCATAACTATCTCCAATCAGGTGCCCTCCAACTATCTGGAGACTATACTTCTTAAAATTCCCCATCCAGCAAGCCATGTTGAAGTCCCAAAACCGCTTAGAGCAGGGGTCCCCAACCCCTGGTCCGTGGACCGGTACCGGGCTGCGGCATGCCAGCAACCGGTCTGCACAAACAAACAAAGCCCCATCTGTGGGATGCAGGCAACACACAAAACCATGCACTCTCAGGTCCATGGAAAGAGTTTTTTCCACGGAACCGGTCCCTGGTGCCCAAAAGGTTGGGGACCTCTGGCTTAGAGGGTACCAGTTTGAAAGAAGACTGTGGCCCAGCTGCACAGAATTTTAGAAAGTTGTGGATTTTATTTTCATAATATGCTTTCATATTAAGGCTGTAATTGAATGCATGTTTTTAATCTTAAATATAATGGAATTACTGGGCATCACAAAAGAAACATCTGTCTGAATGCCATGTAATTTTGAGTCCAACACTCTTTATACTTAAATCTAGTCATAACTATTTCTTTTGATTACACTATATCTGACGTTTCATTCAAGGGCAACACACATAATACTTCCCCTTTAATCCTTACAACAAAACTATTAGGAAAGTTATAGACCAATATTCTCCAGAGAGCTTTGTGGCTGAGCAGAGATATGAAACTGGATTCCTCTCAATAAAATCAAGCATACTACAGGGCTTTAAAATGCAAAACCACATACATATCATGATTTAGAGGCTAAAATTCAAATAATATCGCATAACTTTTTCTACCACAGACCTACAATCAAGGTGAACTTAGAGAAATAAATAGTATGTTAATACAATTAATAGTATGTTAATACAATTTCCCTGAGGGTTTACATTGATTTCCCCAAGCAAAGAAAACTATTCCAGTGAAAGAAACATGCCTTTTGAAAAACACTATGACTATACATTTTACAGGCAGAATTAAATTTACATTTAATGTTTGCCTATTGAAATTGCTGGAACAGTTTTAGCTCACACCCATTCTATCTGGCTTTATCCCAGAAATGCTAACAACAATCCCTCGGGTAAATAGTTTATAAAGGCTAAATTGTACTTTCTTCCATGCCAACAAAGCCTGGTTCCCCTACAGGAGTATTAGGCAATAGAAACATCATTTAAAATGTTAATTGATACAAATATGTCATCCAGAGATATAGAACTCACTAACACTATTTGGGCTATTGACACAATCTACATATATATCTAACAATATCAAAGGGCCATTTCTCATCACACATTAGGCAACTATACAATCAAACAGAAAACACTACTTGCAGATGCAGAAGATTCAGAAAAGTTCAACTCTCTCTAAAACATCTAAAGCAGCGGCCCCCAACCTTTTGGGCACCAGGGACCGGTTCCGTGGAGGGAGGTTTTTCTGTGGACCGCAAGGGGCATGGTTTTGCATGCTGTCTGCAACCCACGGATGGGGTTTCGTTTGTTTGCACGGCCCGGTTTCTGGCATGCCGCCGCCCGGTATGGATCCACGGACCAGGGGTTGGGGGGACCCCTGATCTAAAGCATCTAAAACTGCTATCATTTCTTGTCATCTTGAGAAACCAATAAGTGCTTTCTTCTTATCTCAAAACAGCTCTTACAGACAAAAATCAGTACATATCGCTCTACCACAGGCCCACAAACCTTTTCCTTTTGTTACCACCTAGGCCCAGGTATCTCAACCTTTGCTGCATATGTTCCCCACAATATGCTTCTTAAATCAACTAGAAAATTCTAGACAAAGACATTATTCTTCCTCCTAAGGCTAAGCAATGGTACTGTGTCACCAACTATTATTAAAACACAGCTTATCTTTGGATCCGTGTGGTGGCAGGAAGGGACAGAAAGGGAATCCCTGAGGTTCAGTACTTTTCTAGAAAATATATGAAACACTCATCCAGATTAAAAACAAAAAACCCCCATAAATTAGACCCAAAGCAAAGCTATACCCTTGCCTTAAGATAAACATTGTAAGCATCTTAAGCCAAGCAGGAAAAATTCAGCAATCTCTTGACTTCTTTGACATTCCACCTCCAGTAGGATCCGTGACCTGCTGCCCAATCTGTCTTCCAGCTATGTCATACCTTGCGTGATTTCTCTTCTCCACTGTAGAACACATCAGCAATTTCTCCCGGGGAAGCACAAAAAAACAGCTATCTCTCCTGCGGCTCTCTTACTCCAGAGCAATGAATGACTGCAGACCGGGATACAGTAGAGGCACAGTAGCTCAGACCCAGCGCTGTGCTTGCTTCTGTGTCTTACAGAGGCTACTGCAGGGATGTCAATTCATCCCACATCACTGCTTCGAACCCGCCCTGGAGGAGGGAGCTAGTGAAAACAGACAGGAGGCCAAGGGGGGGAATGAAGGGGAATGACTCGAACTGAGATTACAAAGGGAAATACAGGATTAGTGGTGGGGCTCCCCTTTAACTGTTCCTGCCTCTCTGATTCTCTGCTCTCAACTGAGAATTATTGTCATTATGAACTTGACTCACAGACTCTTGCAGCAGGTCTGAGACAGACAGGTCAGTGGGAGACAAGAGCCCCCAAATCACTAAAAATGGATCTAGGGAATGTAAAAAAATCATTGGCTGCTGAGGCAAGGGGGTGCAATGCATGTCACTGGAGTTCTGTAAAACCTGGAAAGTGGTCCTCATATTCAAAATTAAGAAGGGGCAAAATCAGAAGTAAATTAATAAGATGGGGATTCATTCATATGGTAAAGTTTCTTTCAAGTAAAGCTCAATTCCAAGCAACTTAAGTATCAGTAGCGGCTAAAGTGCTGAGCTAGGCTAGAAAGCGGGAGACTTTGAGTTCTAGTCTTCTCTTAGGGATGAATGGTGGCTGGATGCCTTTGGCCCAGTCACTCTCACTCAGTCCACAGACCACCTCCCAGGATTGTTGTTATGGGGAAAATAAGAAGTGGGAGCATTAGGTATGCATGCCACTTGGAACTGACAAAAAATAAACCGGTAATAAAATAAAATGATACATCCATATCATTCTGGTTTGTAGCTATGTGGAAGTTGTTTATCACAGCCTGCTGGCATTTTTTCCAGCTTCCCAATTAAGCCTCTAGGACAGTCAATGACAGCCTCCCATTCAAGTATTAACCAGATCCAACCCCTCCTTAGTTTCCAGGCCCTGTGGTGCTACTTTCGGGAATAAATTGATTTTCTGTATCTCATTGGAAATCTGCAAGGTAACTTGATTAAATATGCATTCAAATGATAAAAAAAAGAATGTCTCCATTAATATAATTTTTGCCACTGATTGAACTGAATTAAGTTACACAAAATAACTTTCTGTGAATGATTTGAACAATCTGGTCTATCTGAAATAGTCACAAAATCAGCCCTGCGCATTCAAATGCATTGGAGCAGAAATATGTTTCAGCATACCAAAAAGGCCACTTCTGTACCATCCATCCATACTGTACAATGTACATAACAATTGCCAAATGAGATCAGGACAAAATGTTTCGGTTTTCTAAGATGCCACGCAATTTTGTGCTTGGGAAAAAAGAATACCCATTATTTTCAAATTACACGGTGGTAATCTTGAATAAGATAGATAGATAGATAGATAGATAGATTAGATAGATAGATAGATAGATAGATAGATAGATAGATAGATAGATAGATAGATAGATAGATAGATAGATAGATAGATAGATAGATAGATAGATAGATAGATGAGAGAGAGATTAGATTAGATAGATTAGATAGATAGATAGATAGATAGATAGATAGATAGATAGATAGATAGATAGATAGATAGATAGATAGATAGATAGATAGATAGATGAGAGAGAGATTAGATTAGATAGATTAGATAGATAGATAGATAGATAGATAGATAGATAGATAGATAGATAGATGAGAGAGAGAGAGAGATTAGATTAGATAGATAGATAGATAGATAGATAGATAGATAGATAGATAGATAGATAGATAGATAGATAGATAGATAGATAGATAGATAGATAGACAGACAGAGAGAGGGGGGAGAGAGAGAGAGAGAGAGAGAGAGAGAGAGAGAGAGAGAGAGAGAGAGAGAGAGAGAGAGATCCAGGTAATAATTCAAAATTTCATTAGATTAGAATGAAAATATAACCTTATTTAGTCTTTTTTCTCCATACCTAGCAACAACATTGTTAGTTTTAAATGCTGCTGGAAGAATCAATTTCCTAAAACAGGGCTTCCTGGGACAATATTCCAGGTCTTTTTTTAAAAAAAAGATAACCCTTTTAAATCTCTTACTTTGCACAACTCTTTTGACCACTGGAAACCTGGAAACTGACCCGGCTCATCCGTGGTGAGGCAGAAACCCTGTCCATATTTAAGCCCTACCCTAGGTCTGGGGACTTTATGCCAGGAGCCTTTCCGCTAACCCGCGCCCACCTCCTCCTCCCTCTGCAAAGACGAAGTGCTTGCTCTAAGTCAGGGGTAGTCAACCTTGGCTCTTTTATGACTCGTGGACTTCAACTCCCAGAATTCCTGAGCCAGCTTAGCTGGCTCAGGAATTCTGGGAGTTGAAGTCCACGAGTCATAAAAGAGCCAAGGTTGACTACCCCTGCTTCTAAGTCAAGGAATGGCAACGCGAAAGGCGGGAGAGGAACCACCTGGTTTTAATTCGGCGGGTCCCGTTCGGCCGTCGGGATCCCCCCTCGGCAGGGCCCTTCGCTTCTGAAGTTGATCTGCGCTTGGCCGTTGCATTGTGACTCAGCGCCAGGAGGAGGAGAACTGAGGTGATCCCTTCGGCCAATCAGAGGGCCCGCCTGGCCTCAGCCGAACAGACAGCCTTCAGGAAGGGGGCGGATCCGCGTAACGTGAGTATTTGGGTGGCGCTTTGGAATGTTGTTTGCCGGAGCCTTTCGGGCACGTGTCACGTAAATACGATTATCCCGAGGCTGGCGTGAAAAAACATTGCTGGGATCGTCGGAGGCGCTGGCTTAATGGGCAGGCGGAACCGAAAGGATTTCATACACACACGTTAGAAAAGGAGGTGATTTATTAGCCTGTCTAATTAAAAAAAAAAAGGACGAGATGACGATAGTGCCAGTCAATTACGCCGTGGATCACACGGTGCTTATTTGCGCTGCTCGGGGAAAAAAAAGAAAAAATCACGATACCTTGAAAAATAGCAAATGAATTCCTCCATCCTGCCCGGGCGGAGTGGTCGGAGGGGGCGGGGGGGGGGAAAGGCAGGTTTCTCTGCATTTTCAATTTAATAAATCTTTTTTTTTTTAATTGAAAGTTTTATAAAATTTTACAATATAAATCCCCCCTCCCCCAAACCCACCCCTCCATCCCCCCAATTTAATAAATCTTATACCCAGGTATGGAGAACTGCGTTGTTGAACCCGATCTGGTAATTTTACAAAGCTGCTCTTCCCGTCGAGCATTCAAAACCGTGGTATTTGCTGCTTGAGCAACCTTTCTCTCTAATCTGATGTAAAAGGAAGCAACCGAAGGCCCTGCTTGGGTGGTCTGGCATCGTATACTCCCTAGAAAACTAACTTGGTTGAAGCAGCAATTCTAGATAAATTGCTAGGGTTAGTTGTTTGTCCATTGATTTCGATGAAGACCTTGACATCTTGGGTCAAGATGTCAAGACTTGCGCGTGGATTGGATTAAAGTGAGGGAGAGGTGCGCATAGTCAGCCTCACTCTCTCTTTATTTATTTATTTTTATTTATTTATTTATTTGTTTGGATTTTTATCCCACCCTTCTCCTTACGGACTCAGGGCGGCTGACAGCCTGGTAAAACAGATACAAAGATAAAAATACCCACTTTAAAACCTAATTAAAATGAAATATTTGATGTGGCCTGTGTCAATTTAAAATTATTCTTCCCAGATTCCATCTTGTTCCAATGGCAGGACAAAAGTCGAGACAGCTGGAGATGGGCTGGGCGCAGTGGTTGACCAGGGCGTCTTTCGTGTCTTGCCGTGCTCTCAGCGTACCACATCGCTTGCAGAAACTGCCTTCATGACCGTTGGTCCTATTTCTAACAGGTCTCATCCGCTCAATCCGCCAGTGTCTGTCTTCACATGCTCGGGATAGACAAATCCTTTGCTCACCGAATGTCAAAGACACAACGGCTACTCTCGACCTGGTTTGGGCAGCCGGTCGAAGCTGTTGTCCGGGGTGTGGCCGCTGCGCATGTTACAGCTACTAGGAGCCACAGGTGAGAGCTGAGTGTCAGGTGGGGACCAAAGGTGTACGAGCTGCCCTAAAAAGGGCACGACATGCCCTCCACCAGAGGTGCTACCCCTCCCTGAACACCCCATACACCCCGCTAGGGTAGTAACTTAATGATAAAAATGAATGGAGAAGAATCGGTTCACTCAAACATCTCCAGGTCAAAAGCAAGATGAAAAAAAGGAGATGCTCTTAACATATTAGACAACTAATAATTTATGTATTGGCTGTTTCACAGTTTTTGCTTATATGTACAGAAGTATCAGAAATGTTCTCATGTTTCACAACAGAAAAAGTAGCTGCCTTTTGAGACACTCCAGTGTATATAATCCACTCTTAATTGTGTTCAATAATTGGCAGGAGTAATTTATTAATACTCATCTATCAAAGGAACTCTAGGTCATGAACAGAGGCCCCTGACACAATCTCATTCTCAATCTGTGGGACACACCCACACCAGTGCCTCTGGGCCCCAATGCCTAGAGGAATTGTCTTTATCTGCACGTACAATCAATTATTGATTTTTTCCTGCTGTAAAAGTCATGGCCTTTCTAGAGTGATTCACTGGTTGTATATGTCCTTACTACATGAGACCATTTTTCTCTATCTTGATAGGACTGCTAGAAGCTTCCAAAGATAGCGAGTGTCTGTCTCAGACCTGCTGCAAGAGTCTGTAATTCAAGTTCATAATGACTATAATTCCCAGTGAGAGGTCATACTGGCTAAGCAGATGGAAGCTGAAGTCCATCAAAACCTGCAGGACCACTGGTTTTGGCCCGCTCCACATTTAATTGAGGTTTCATAGAATAGTTCACTTTTCACAGTAGAGTAGTTTTCACTTACTATCAACCACAGTCCTTAGACTTCCTGTATTATAATTCCAGCCTACAGTTTAAAAATTTGAATATCCTGAAAACATGGTCTTGAGACAACA